CGAAAAAAATACCGAAACTAAACCAAGAGATTTAGGATAATTTTTTCGGGAAATTAATGTAGAAATATGTCAAATGATTAGTAGGATTATTGCTGAGAGGATTCAGCTGTATTGAGTTTAAGAATAGGATTCTGTTGTATTGAACACGAAGAGGAGCATTTAGGATATGTTAAATTGTTTGTCAATCCTGACAAATCATGATGTTTTAATGTAACAATACATATACATTTTCTCAAACGACCGTAAAGTATTTTTCTTTAATAAAATTTAATATGGAAAAATGTGCGTTACTTTGGCCACATCATGTATAATACTACATATTCTTTGCTGAAACCCCAAATTATATATATATTATGAAGAACTTGGTAATCCGTATGGGTAATCCCAAGAAGGATGAAATCCTGAGAGCTCAATGTAAATCCAGAGCTAATATTTTAAAGGTAAACGGACCATAAAAAGGGGTAATTAAAGAGACATGGTAGAGTTTAGGGAGAGATTAATTTCATATCTCTCTCTAACAGAAGGGTAAGGAATGTTTTTGAGTGAGTAATCCGGTGTAAATTTATCCATTATAAGTTGGAAGTGTGGATTCTTACGGTAATCCGATGGGAGGTAATCCAATGAGAGCTCAGCTTATTTAATAAGGAGCTAATAGTTAAGTTGTGAAGAACTTGGTAATGGCTAATCCGAAGGAGAATGAAAGCTCAATGTAAATCCAGAGCTAACATTCTTTACCCTTCTGGAGAGAGATATGAAATTAATCCCTCCCTATACTCTACCATGTCTCTTTAATTACTCTCTGTTAAATTACAAAAAACTTACACTACTCATCAATTTTAATTTCATTTTTCGTTTCATATCATTTTTGGAAGTGCTATCTGATGATCCGGCGTCCTTTAAAAGGGTTCTGGTGAAATAAATTATTATAATGTTTTTTCTGTAATATATATATATATATATATATATATATATATATATGTGTGTGTGTGCTATATTTATGCGATAAAGTGCTCAATATCAGAGATAGAGCGTGTGTAAATATAAAAGTGAACATTCAAGTTTTCAATTAGAATCGACAGGCTGTCGCCTGTAAGTGTTGACTTCAATGTTCACGTATATATATATATATATATATATATATATTATATATATATATATATATATATATATATATATATATATATATATATATATATAATTATATAATTATATATATATATATATATATATATATATATATATATATAAAAATTTAAAATATGATAAAAAATAGGAATTACCATGTTTCAAAAAACTGAAGCTAAAATCTTCAAATTTAATTATATAATTAAATTGAAAGCATTATTTCTGTTACATCTTCAAGCGAATTTTGTAATAACTTATTTTAAAATTTACTGAGTTTTAAACGCACATACAATTCATGAATTGTTTGTGCGTTTAAAACTCAATAAATTTTTTGAAACATGGTAATTCCTGTGTAGCGATGAAACCATATTTGTAAATCAGTTGATATATAATATTTATGCTCTGTAAATTTACATTCAGCAATGAGTAAAAATAAAAATATCAATAAGAACACAGGATTATATATCTTATTCTTCTTTGTTTTTTTTATAATATATATATATATATATATATATATATATATATATATATATGTGTGTGTGTGTGTGTGTGTGTGTGTGTGTGTGTGTGTTAAACCTTAGGAGCCAGGCAAACCTACCTAGGTTTCATCCAAACGGATCATCAGGTCTAGGCATGTTTGCCTGGCTCCTTAGGAATATCTTAAGTTTTGCTCTAATTCGTGTATTTAGCACTTTACATAGTTGCCTTTTACTCGTTTTGGTGGATTTTTTCTTTGAACTTTGACCTTGAATTCTGGAAGATTGCAATCCTTAGTTTCATGTTTTTGGTTCTTTCTTTTTTATTCCTCATTTTCCTAGGGTACCGATTTATTCAACTACAAGTCGAACTATCAAGGGTTTTCCAAGAACGTACCACTATATATATATATATATATATATATATATATATATATATATATATATATATATATATATATAAATTAAAACTTTTTAAAGGAATACTATATTTTTTATAGACAAATAGCTGTGTGTGCATAATGTTTTAAGCGCAGACAGATTAGATGTGGCCCAATGTCGAAAATATGAGGCACCCAGTTAGGAGCGAATTCGTTATTAGATCGTAATTACTTTAGCGAAACCAGCTTGCTAACCATTGCACCACGTCGAAGTGCCAAAGCGGTGTGTGTGTGTGTATAAATTGTATGCCAGAGTGTTTTTTCGCGTATTTCCGTGATTTCAATAACTGTATTTTTGATAAACACGTAAATTATTCATTTTATTAGTATCTATCTATCTATCTATCTATCTATCTATCTATCTATAAAATCTATCTATCTATCTATCTCAGTCTTCTTATATCTATCTATCTATCTATCTATCTATCTCAGTCTTTTTATCTATCTATAAATCTATCTATCTATCTATCTATCTATCTATCTATCTATCTATCTATCTGTTTGTGTGTCATACCTCAAGCCTTTTTTAAAATCTAAGCGAAAGAAAAAAAAATATACCCAAATGAATTTAAGTCACGCCCACATTTTAACCCGAAATCTTTTGTCAGCTTCATTCACCGAATCCCTCATTGAAAATAAATGAAAAACGGGCCAAACTCGAACAAATAATATCAATCCTTTGCTTTGTATGGGTCTGCCGCCATCTTAAAACCACAAAACAATAGCCAGAACGACCACGTGACCAGCCAGATTCACACCGCCATTTTGCTAATTTTATCATTTTAATGATTCACTATTTATTAGTCGCATTATTATTATTATTATTATTATTATTATTATTATTATTAGTTTTAATTATTAATGCTTTTTTTTTATTCTGTCTTAAAGAATTTCACTAATTACTTTATTCAAATTAAAAATATTGTGTTTAATATAAAATGAGAATTTCTTCGGAAAAAGGAAAAGCAAAGAGAGAAAAACGTTACAATAAAAGACGGGTAAATTCAATGTAAGAAAAAAAATGTAGGCCATTTAGACAGAGGCGTTTTTTTTTTGTCTTCTCTGATTTGATATGTTTGCAAGGCGTCATTGTTTCTATCTATCTATCTATCTATCTATCTATCTATCTATCTATCTATCTAAATCGGTTCATATCTATCTGAGTCTCTGTGTGTATACGTCATCATATGAAAGATTTTTCAGCACACACTCAGAGTTAATGTCACACATACGGACAGACAGCGAATATTTTATTTTTACTTCGTTTCATATTGAATAGCCACTTCTTTATATTATTTGACAGTATTGTTTAATTTATTCAATAATGTTTTTAATGCTTTTTATCTGTCATTGCCAATTATTAATTCTTTTATATTATTTACTACATACATACATACATACATACACACACACACACACATATATATATATATATATATATATATATATATATATATATATATATAGTTGGATTGATATGCTAGCTCTATTACTGATATTGAACGCTTTCCAATAAGTGGATGTATATATAAATAATATATATAAAATATTATATATATATATATATATATATACACACACACACACACACACATATATATATATATATATATATATATAAAGAAATATAGTCTTAAGGTTTGCTATATTTATGGGATAAAGTGGTCAATATCAGAGATAGAGCGTGTGTAAATATAAAAGTGAACATGGAAGTCAACACTTAGAGGCTCTAAGTATTGACTTATTGTTCACTTTTTTATATATATATATATATATATATATATATATATATATATATATAAGCAATATGTTCGTCTATGTAATATATTGATAGTTGGTTTGTGTTGTTTTATTAGTGTATTTGTGCTTGAATTTTGGTGAGTCTGATTATTTGTTTATAGTTACGTGTCTGTGTGATTGCTTGTATATACTTTTACCTGTATATACATTTGTCTAACATAATTTTTTTTGCGTCGTTTTTTATGTTTGTCTGTCTTTATTCTTCTTCCTTTTATTTTTATTTTATTCTTTATTTTTATTTTCCTTTTTGAATTTTTTCTTCTTCTGTTTCCTGTGTGAATATCCGTCCTCATATTTACGTATTCATATATTTGATTATATATATATACGTGTTTCTGCATTAGGATGTGAATGTGTATGTCTTGTCATTTGAAAAATCCCCTTCCCTCATCTACCAGACTTTCACGTATCAAACCTGTGCAGAGATCGTAGATGCCTCTTACATTAGCGTCGAACTTAACTGATAAATTGGTACTTCGCTAAGAACAACGAAAAAAAAAAAAAATTTTGTCCTAATTTGATTTCTGAATAATTTTGTAATAATAATTTAAAACTTTTTCTCGTTTAAAATTAGAATTTAACATTTGTAATTTTTAAATTTGCATTGAAATTAAAACTTAATTATATTGATTTCTAATTGAATCCCATCTTAATTTTAATGCACTAAATACATGGTACTTAGGTTATATTGTCACGTCAATTTGAATTACCATATCCTTGCATTCTGATTGGTCATCAGAGGTTACTTATTAAAGTTTCCCCTACTGAGAAAGTTTGGTTCGATTTTGAACTCTTAAAAGTCTTTATTTTGCTGTCAACACCATCACTTGACAAGACACCGGAAGTGTTGAAACAAAATGGCTATTTTTGCATCGAGAATGGTCAGTAACTAAATGGATATGGATCTCCGTTTGGGAATAACAGATACTATAAGCTTCAATGTGCAGGTGGTGTAATGAATAGTGGCTCTGAATTGTTAATCTGAGAACCGAGTTCGAATTTCAGTTAGGTTCGTTATATTCACTTTCGTGTAAATACCGTTGGGAAAGATACACAACTCGACCAAGAACTCTGGATGAGTTAAAACAGAGAATTCAAGATGAAATTCACAGTATCTCAGCTGAGATGTTGCATCAGTCAATGAGGCATCTCAGCAGATTTCAAGAATGCATTCGTACAGGAGGACGCCATCTACAGGACGTAATTTTTAAAAAAATGAAAATTTCATCATTGTTTCTTAAATGACATATTTTAAGGTTTCAATTAATATCAATAAAATATTTTTCTTCCATCACTCTTGGTTTTATTGGATTGTTAAAAAGTTCCCGTTTTTTTGGGTCACCCTATATAAATTCATCTATGGTTTAATCAGTAAAACTTATATCATTAAATCGTTACTATCTTAAAAAATTTCTTACAAGCCGTAAAAACACAAATGGAATTTCAAAACGAACCTTTTATTTAGTTGAGTTACTATAAGGAAATAACTGAAACTAAGATATCCAGAAAAGGCATGGCACGTGGAATTAGAACAATCTACCCCGGGTGAACGAAATAAAGGGTTTGGTTCGAAATTGTAACATATATCACCTGAATAAGGTTGGAGCGTACAACGGTCGAAACGCCGGGAATATGACAATAAAGATGAGGACAACAGTCCGAACAATGTAAATAGGTTAAATAAATGATTAGTCGAGGACTGGTGCGTCAGGTATCTGAGAACACATCTCAAGCGGGCATAGATGCAAGACGACCCAACGTAATGCTACGCGGCATGCGCCACCTTTTTAACGTCTTATATTCTATTCTTTACTAGTATCGCTAACCGTCATATACACCGACTGGTAGACTCGCATTTTCTCGCAAGTTGTCAGAGGAGCAAGAGAAAATGTAGTCACTGTGCGCCAACAAACCCACTGCTGTACGAAAAGTAATACACACTATGCACAACAAGGGGTACGCCGTACCATCCTATCCTATTTCTTATCTGCAGGGTTTTAGGATTGAGGTGTTGGATACGATGGCGTGTAAAATCCTGTGAACTCCTAACAGATCCCCATGTCTCCATATATGTTATGATTGCATAGCTTATTTTATATACATTAACATACCAAAATAAACCTTTATGGTGTTAATGCGTAATGATATGCAAAGAGCTCTTACAAGCTTCGTGCGATGTTTGCTAAATGAATTTACAAGGGCATGTAACCCAGTAAAGATCAGACCCACTCCAGTTGTAATGCTCTATAAGCCTTACTTACTTTGTTAATTAATTTCCCGCAGCGAAATGCCAGAGTGATATTTAGTAAACTAGTTTACAAATCCGAGACATTCACTGAAGAGAGTGATGAATTCTTGATTAATGGTTGACAAAATCATTTTCTAACGATGGCATGCCCTAATGATATTTAGTACTGTTTTCTTTACTTTCCATTAGTATGGCTGATGCTAACCTCCAGGAGAGTCACTGAAGAGAGTGATGAATTCTTGATTAATGGTTGACAAAACCATTTTTCAATGATGACATGTCCTAATGATATTTAGTACTGTTTTCTTTACTTTCCATTAGTATGGCTGATGCTAACCTCCAGGGGAATCACCGAAGAGAGTGATGAATTCTTGATTAATGGTTGACGAAACCATTTTCTAACGATGACATGTCCTAATGTTATTTAGTACTGTTAGCTTAACCTGCTACAAGATTCTGAGGTTTCCCCCCGAAATTTTGAAATTCTTGATTAATGGTTTTCCATTTTTTAACGATGACATGTCCTAATATTAACCTCCAGGATGAGGTTCCATAGTATGTTATTACTTCCACCGTCTGAGAGTTTAACCTCCAGGAAGATGATGAATTCTTGAGTAATGGTTGACAAAACCATTTTTCAATGATGACATGTCATTAACTCAATGACCATTTTCACTCACGAATTTTAATTTTAAAATTTGCAGGATTTTTCAAACTTTTTATGTTATCAGTTTGTAGTAGGATAAAGTTTATTTAGAGAAAGAAAAAGAGAGAGGGTTTTCTAGGGGACTTATTAGGAGGCATAGAGAGAAGAAGGCACAGTTACAAGAATTATATTATGGAGGCAGGAGAGCCTGGGGAGGGGGAGGGAGGGGGAGACCGATAAGCTGACCTACATCCTAATGGGCACACGGCCAAAGTTTAATTCGAGGGGAAGTCATGGAAATTAATGAAAACGTGAAAATACAATCAAGACGTAACTTTAGTAAAATGAAAGAGAGTTAATTCGGAATTATTGGTATTAAAGTCGTCTATATATCAGAGCTCAAAGTTTGGGATATGTATATATATACAAGCAGTAGAGCCCGGCGTTGCCCGGTGATGTAACAGTAAGAGATAGATCAAGTATCGGCCATCATAAAGACTGAAAATTAAAATTGACAAAGATTATTGTTTAAGGTTGACGGACACGCATATCTTAATTAGTTTTTTGTTTGATATTTATTTTTTTTTTTTTACGAATTAGCCAAACTCAAACAAAAACAATGTTTTCAATCGTTATGAGTCTATCGATTGAATAGAATTTTATTATAAACAATTGTCTTGTAAATGGAATTTTTAAAGCATTCTGAATGTAAACATAAAGAAAAAAGTGTGCAAGACAATAAGAAACACTACCTGCCAAAAAAACAAAATGAAGTTTTGTAGAAATCGGTTGAAAAATTCAGGAAATCCGATCCCATATAAAAACGAACACACACACACACACACACACACACACACACACACACACACACACACACACACACACACACACACACACAACCTGGGTTTTATAATAAGTATATCTCGATATGAGTTGTCCCTCTTTCATTCTCGCGATGCCTCTTAATCGTGTTGTCAAATTGATTTCGTGTAAAAACAATGTGTTTTTCAAATTTTTGGCGCTGTCAGAAGCACCGCAAGGTAATTTTACGTAGTCCTGTGAAGTTTTGTTGAAATCGGTTGAAAAATGTAGGAAATCCGATCCAATATATAAACGTACACACACACACACACACACACACACACACACACACACACACACACACATACAATCTACGTTTTATAATAAGTAATATATATATATATATATATATATATATATATATATATATATAATGAATGATGGCAGAATACCTAAGATCTTCATCTATAGCCAGCTTGGCAGAGGACGGTCTGTTGGATGGCCGAGGCTCAGGTATAAAGAGAAGGTAAAGAGTAACCTCTCAGCTGTCAATGTGCTTCATACTATCTTCGAGCGCGTTGCCTTGGATAGAAATAACAATAGATATTTTTGCCAGTGTGGTATCAGAAATGGTTTTGTCCTCGGCAGAAGTATCAAGTTGAGAGCTGATGTCATCGGGAAGGTCAGTGATGAAAATTAAGAAAAAGTAAGTCCTTTGGTGACAAAAAAGATCTAGAAGTTTAGACGCTGAGAAAAACTCATTTTACAATTTGTCTGGAAACACCATAAATTTGGGAAGACTGGTATATATTTGTTCCAGTGTAGTATAAGAAATGTTGAAATCAGTCATATTGACTGGCTAAGAGATGAAAGACAACAGCTAAAAACATTAGTGAATGTTCCTGTTGCTATGTTCACTGTTGCACAATATGTGGAGTTGTATGCAGGTCACTAGCACTGGACCATATGTGGCAGCAATATTCAAAACATTAACGATTGGTAGACTTATAAATATGCAAGATAGATTCAGGAGAGAAAAATTGTCTCACATGACACAGTAAACCAACTTTCTTAGAAGCTGACCCAACAAAGGATTCAACATAATCTTACCACTTCATGTCAGCTGAGAATGTTACCCCGGGAAGGCACAATGATTCAATCTTCTGGAGGGTAGCACCCTTGATGTGCTGGTGTGAGGCAGAAAGTGGTCTCTCTGATGATAAATTGAGAGAAGTTTTGTTTTGGAAGTGTTAAAATTAACATGCCATTCTCCGCACCAGTTAACAACAGACTATTTTTTTCATCAGCTGCTGGTTTGACCTTATTGAACTGATCAGACTTACTATCGTGTTGTAGAGTAGTTTTCACAGTGGAAGCTTGTATTTCAATAAGTCGTCCTAAATTAGGTTCGACGTACAAAACGTTAGAAACTTGAAAATAAGAGTTAATGACGCAGCAATCTAGTTGTGATGGTTGGTACTTCAATGTCCGATATCGTCTGATTAGCTCAACTCCCCTGAGCCGAACTGGCGACCGCTACTACTACTTATTATGTGTGGGAGAGTCTATTAATAATAGAATAGGTACGTCCGGCATGACATATCGCCACAGGAGTAAATGGTTGTGTCATCAGCATAGATACCAAGCTGGGAGCTGATACCATCAGGAATGTCATTGATGAAAATTAAGGACAAAGTAGATTCAAAAGCTGTGTTCTTATATTTTTGACAATTTAATGTTTTTATTTTATTTACTGAATTATTATTATTGTTTGCAGCTGATGCAGTAATATGAAAAGGTTTCTGAAAGGTTCTCAGCTCAACCAAGATAAAAACTTGATGTTTGGTCATTTGATCAGATTTTTGAGAAATGGATTAGGCCGAGAGAACTTTTCTCATATTAATATTATAATACGGCCGACCTGACTCAATCCTGGATTGTTTCCATGCTGGTCAGCACTGGCACTGGTCAACTGATGGTTGTCTGTTGACCACTTTGTTCCTTCATTTACTCTACCCACGTTTTCTTTGATCTCAGTGTAGTGAAGATCAGATTTTTGTTTGTACTTTAAGCATTGAATCAAGATGGTGGAACTGTGTTATGAAAAAAGACAAATATCATAACTAATAATAAAGAAGGCTGCTAGGTTAATTTTCAGTGGTTTATATAATCATTGATGCAGCAAAATTGCCCCTTCTTGTTCAATTCTCTATCATGACATTGTATCTCTTGTTTCTAAAACTATTTGATCAGACCTCATATATAAGTATAATCATTTCATCTGTGTCATTGACTATTAGGTTGTGATTAGTTGGAGATCATCTCTCTGGTTTAATGGAAGGCAGGAGAGTGTCTTTCTGGTGATCAATGGAGGCATTAAAACAAGCAAGCCACTCCTTGCCCCATTTAACAACAGACTGTGAGTCATTTTTAGATTAGCTGCCAATTTGACCTGATCAAACTGATCAGACTTACTATTAAAAAAGTAAATGGTTGTGTCATCGGCAGAGGTATCAAGTTGAGAGCCGATGTCGTCGTGAAGGTCATTGATGAAAATTAAGAAAAAGTAGGTCCAAAGGTAGATCCCTTTGGTAACACCTTCATTAGTACAAAACGATCTAGAAGTTTGGACGCTGAGAAAAACCTTTCATTCTGCGATTTAATAAGAAAGACTGAATTAGTTCAAAGATTCGCCCGGAAACATCATAAATTTGTGAAGACTGATGTACCAAACCCTGTCAAACATTTCGAGATATCGAAAGCAACAACCCGAGCTCCACTATTCTTACCTAAAGCTTGATAGATTCTTTCAGCAATCGTTAGTACATCATTAGTTGAAAAACGAGAGAACATAATGCTTGCCTGTGATGTTAGATATATATATATGTGTGCATTAAAAATAACAAACGTTTAATTGAAGCAAGATTTAATTACGCGTTTCGCCTTTTAAGGTTTCATCAGATCCCAAAACTAAATAAAGAAATGTATAGTGTGTATTTGTGTGTTTTTGGGTATTTGTACATACTTGCAAAAACGCATTTCTTTCTTCTTTTGGCTTTTGTTCTGTAGAAGTGTGTGTATTTGTGCATAGTTAAATATTTAAGCATACACTCAAACGCACACACATGTTTCTTTTTTAGTACACACACACACACACAGATATATATATATATATATATATATATATATATATATATATATATATACTAACGCAACAAATATGTTAGTGTGACCAACAGAAACACGAACATCATAGAAAAGAAAAGAAAAAGAATGACCAAAGGGAAACACCTGTTTACTCAGGAAACTAAAGTGCTCAACGAGTATCTAGACAGAGCAAATATATATATATATATATATATATATATATATATATATATATATATATATGAGCGAAAACGATGCCGAGGCCCAGAATATTTAGTGAGATCAAAAATGCTTTTACAAGTTCAATACTTAAAAAACGACTAGTCGTCTGTAGATCGTTAGAATTTGAATTTTCAGTAAACGACTGGTTTGTCCATTATATATATATATATATATATATATATATATATATAGATAGATAGATAGATAGATAGATAATATTGGAAAATATACATACATATGCAAAATATATAAATACCCATACATGTAACATTTTTCAGAAAAAAATTTCAAAGGAAGAATCCAGGTAGAACTCAATGTCTAGGACAGAATAAGGATATATTAAAAAGGCTTAAACTCTAATATTCCATGGTCATATATATATATATATATATATATATATATATATATATATATATATACTTGTGCGTATTTGCACATATGTAGGATATCGTGGTTATTTTTCGTTTTATAATTTACTTGTCTCTGTCGTTATTTCTTTTCTACCTTTTTCCTTTAGCTTTCAGCTCTGCGTGCCAAAATGTAGGAAAATTATTTCCGGGGTTAAGAACGATTTAAGATTAGGTTAGTATTCAAGAATATTCTGGGTTTTTCTAAAGTTTTTCAAACTATAGGTGTTTTTCGTTTTTTTTTCTATTCTTCTTTTCTTCTTCTTCTTCTTCTTCTTCTTCCTTATTATTATTATTATTATTATTATTATTATTATTATTTAATTGTATTATTAATAGATTTTAATAAAGGACCCTCCCTACCAGATTAAATCAAAGTTAAAAAACTTTTTTTATATTAAATACAACTCAAAGAGCATTTTTTGTAAAAATAAAAGAATATTTATTATTATTATTATTATTTATTAAATCTTTATTATCCTTATTTCTTATTTGACTGTTAATAATTTATTTTTAAAAATTTTTTCATAGAGACCTATTAATTCAGAAATGGTCTATAATTACAGTTATTATTTTTGAATTGAACGTACATTTTAAACATAAGATCATAAACTGTTTTTTATAGATATTATTTTTTCAAAATATATATATATATGTATATTTGTATTTTCTATTAAAATATTTTATAAATATTCATATTAAATATTATTATATAATTTATTTTATTTATATATATATTATTATATTTTATTATTATTTATTTAGGCCATATTTATAGAAACAAATATTTATAGTAAATCTGTTTATAATAAACTTTTTCCATTTTCCAAACTGAATGGTTCCAAATACAACTAGAAAAATGTGTTCGGATTGATATTTAATCGTTAAAATTAAGTCATTATAAATTTGCAGTTATTTAATTGTCTTTTCAAATGAAACTTCCTCTGAAATATTGTTTCCTCAATTTAAAGTGTTCCATTAATCCTTTTTTTTTTTGTTCTGTCAGTTAATTAATTTATGGATTCCTGAACATTTAGTTTGTCTTAAATTCTTTATTCATCATTGTTTAAGTATTCGAAAACTTATTTATTATTTATAGAAAATATGGCAATATTCAAAATTTTACTTATTATTGTTTGAATTTCGTGTATCATATCATAATTTATAAATAAACACATATAGAACATA